ACCAAGTCCTTATCAGAGGTCACTTCCCTAGCTTAAATATAGATTTACATGCAGAAAAGAATGACAAATAAATGTAAAGCACTAATAAAATGAACATTTAACATCACTCTCATCTTTATTGAAGACTCTTGTTGGTGTATGGCAGAGGGAGGGAGGACGAGTTTATTATTGGAGAATATGACACTAATATCAACTCTATGGCTTATTTATCTATCAAAATTCAACTAATATGACATAATAAACAATATTAATAACATAGAAACATGAAATATACTCTAGAATGAATAAAATAAGTCATGTATGTCACGACTGATGTTGTTGGGTGTATAAGGGCCACTTAGAGCATAAGCTGTACATAATGCTGGTAAAGGCTGCAGCTGAGGCGGTGGTGTTTTCTGTAACCCTATACATGTATAACTCCAACAATATTGGAGAAGTTAGTAGAATCGCTGAGTCACTGAAGAAGGCACCCTCTACCACCATCACTACCACCCTCTACCACCACCACAGTTGCTACCACCCTCTACCACCACCACTTTCATATTTTTCTACAAACATTTTCTTGAATTATATCATGTTTTTTACATTCTTTACCAAAGGGCTGGCACTAGAAGCTTTCTTTGGAGCCATGATGACTTGTTTAGCAGTTGCAAACACTAAAACGAATGGAATATTATGAAATGTATCATATGAACGCATGGGATCATCCTCACTCACTGATAAACAATGGCACACTGGCTGGGAATGGAGTGCGGGGCTGCTCAAGGCATGTGTACACGTCTGGTACGAACAACTATTTGTGAGTCAAACGACAATTCGTGAGTCAGTATTTTGACGAAAAAAGTTACAATTTTCGAAAATTACGACTTCTGATGCTTACGAAAAATGAGGGACCACTGTATATAGAAGAGCTTTAGAAACTAGGCTCATTCCTCAGATACATGACAGGTTTCAAGGTGAAGAATCATTCCATTTTATGCAGGATGGAGTCCCATGCCACAGCAAAATCTGTTAAAGCATTTCAAGATTCATGAAAATATTCCTCTTCTTGATTGGCCAGGTAATTAACCTGATAAGAATCCAGTAGAGAATTTATGGGAAACAGCTTAAAGAAAAATGAATGAGTGTTTCACAGCCAAAACACAGTTGATACAAAGACTAACATGGGTATGGAACCATGATAACGACATGCCAACCCACTGCTGTACATGTATAGAAAACATGTCTCAATGTATCGCTGCTCTAATTAAGGCTGAAAGTGGACCAACCAAGTATTAAATGTGTGTAATATATGTTCAGTACATTCAAGTAAACTGTGTTTTTACAATAATTGTATCATTCATCCAGTATTTTTGAAGGAGAATTAATGTAATATGTGTTAAACTGACAAATATTCAATTTTTCTGGTGTGGCTCTTAATAATTTGGCCACCTTCTGTACACAGAATCTGATTTTCCTTCATTGCTGGACTCAAGATGTGTGTGCTAGCTTGCTCACTTTCATGATCTTCATATCTTCACAACCTATAATGGCAATATCAGTTTAAGCGCTAAATCTTCAAGGGTCATACAGCCTTGCAACCTATAGAATAATCCAAAATGTTTGTAAAACTAATACTTTCAATCATTGTTCTTTTATTATGTTCTTTCAGTCTCCATCCTAACTTTCTTTCCTCAATCTGCTCTCCATTTCTGTTCACTCTGTTTATTTCTTCCATTACACATTGGGAGATACCAGTGATTCAAGTTTCTCCTTTCTTCTCTCCTTTGCCAAAGGCAAGGGAGGCAATGGACATTCACTCCCTCTTCCTTGAACATTTTTAGTCACAGTCATATGCTACTGTTGTGTACACTAACGGCTTTTGATGGTATAGGATATACAGCAGTTTTTCCAGATAGTGTAATACAGGTATGTTTACCAAATTAACCTAGTATTTTCACAGCAGTTATGTGCACTTTTTGCAGATATCATTCACATTCCTCTCTTCCCATTTCTTCCACTGATGCATTCTCTGACTCTCAAGGGTGTTTTAGCTTACCCTTAATTTGATTTACATCATTCTGTGCATTCAGTGATGGTTATGTGGCCTCTTAATTAACTATAAAAAACATTGTCTTTTTTCTGGATCCCTGGCCATTCTGGTGTTAAGGGCAATGAATGTGCAAATTCTTTCACAAGTTCTGCAGTTCAGGACATACATACAGAGGTACAAAAAAATACAGGTAAGAGCAGCATGCCAAAGCCACTTGTATGCATAGCATTACAGGCAGGCTTAAAATTAACTTAAGATTAACTAAGCAGTGGTGTAATCAGTGATAAAACATTATTGTAAACAGATAACAATAAAGCACAAATGAGTATTACAAAGACAGGTCATATGGTTGCATGCATTGCTGTACATTCAGTAGAATGGAGTATTCTGTTAGGTAGTGTATTTAAAAGATAACAAAGTTAGATTGGGTCTTAGGTTTAACATTTATGTGATATAATTGTGAGAAACATTTAAGATAAACAATTTATAAGGTTCAGTTATTCAGTATTTATTTGGTTTTGGGTGAGTAAGTGATCTTTGAGAAGAGACTTGAATTTATAAACAGGTAGTGTTTCTTTTATATTTACAGGTAATGAATTCCAGATTTTAGGGCCTTTTATGTGCATTGAGTTTTTGCATAGCGTGAGATGGACACGAGGAACATCGAAGAGTGATCTGTGCCTTGTGTTATGGTCATGTGTTCTGTTGAGGTTGGCAAGATGTTTGAGGGGAGGGTTAATATCAGAGTTAAGTGTTCTATGTATGTAATAGGTGCAGTAATAAGTATGGATGTTTTGTATGGTAAGTAGGTTTAGTGTTTTGAATATTGGTGGAGTGTGCTGCCTGTAGTGGGAATTTATCATTCTGACTGCAGCCTTTTGTTGGGTAATTAGTGGTCTGAGATGGTTAATTGTTGTTGAGCCCCATGCACAAATTCCATAGGTGAGATAGGGGTAAATAAGAGAGTGATATAGGGCCAGGAGGGCTGACTGTGGAACGTAGTACCGTATCTTCGATAGTATGCCTACGGTCTTGGAAATTTTCTTAGAAATTTGTTGTATATGTGTATGAAATTTGAGAGTATTATCAAGGTGGATTCCTAAGAATTTTCCCTCTGTTAGCTTTGTGATAGGTGGTGATTTGTTTATCGTTATGTTAAGAGGGACATCTGTAGCTCTGTTACCAAACTGAATGAAGTAGGTTTTGTCAATGTTTAGTGTAAGTTTGTTAGTCCTCATCCAGGTAGATATTTTCTGTAATTCGGTATTTACAGTATTGGGTAGCATGACTGGGCTCGGGTGAGAGAAGATGTATGTAGTGTCATCTGCAAATAGTGTGGGTTTGAGTAATTGCGCAGCATTTGGTAGGTCATTTATGTATAGGAGAAAGAGAAGAGGGCCAAGGACACTTCCCTGTGGGACACCAACTGTATTGGTTGTGCGGAAGAGTTTGCCCCATTTGTGTACACATATTGAGGTAATTGAGGGAGTGCCCTCTTATACCATAGTGTGACAATTTTATGTGGAGCAAGTCATGGTCAACTGTATCAAAAGCTTTACGTAAGTCAATGACGATCCCCAGTGGGACTTCTTTTTTCTCTATTGCAGTGTATATATGTTCTAGCATGTGTATAATAGCATCATTAGTATTTTTATTAGGCCTGAATCCAAATTGGCAGGGGTTGAGTATGTTTTGGGAGATGAGGTAGGAGTAGATTCGTTTATGAATTAATTTTTCAAAGATTTTTGAGAGAGGGTGTAAGTTGGATATTGGCCTATAGTTATTCAACTCTGTTTGGTCTCCTCCTTTATGGATCGGGGTGACCCTTGCTATTTTGAGAACTGTAGGGAAGGTGGAGGATTCAGTGGATTTGTTAGAGTGTTGCAATGATTGGTGATAGCACTTGTGACACTTTTTGTATATAAAGGGTGGTAAGGTATTTAAATCTCCTGCCTTGTTTTTTAGTGTGTTGATAATAAGGGAGACTTCGTATGGGTTAGTCGGAGCTAGGAACAGTGTGTTCGGGTAGTTGCCAGTGAGGTAGTCATTTGGTGGGGTATCTGAGCTTGGGATTTTATTAGCAAGGTTTTGTCCTATAGGGGAGAAGAAATCATTGAGTCTGTTTGCTGTTTCTGTTGGTGGGAGTTGGGGTTCATCTGATTTTGCTAATTTTATTTCACTATTTCGTGATATCTTTTTTGTTCCTAGAATTTCTGATAGGGTTTTCCAGGTCTTTTTTTTATCACCTCGTAAGTTGGATAATCTGTTCTCGTAATACAATTTTTTTGCCCTTCTTATCAGGCTGGTTAGGATTGACAAGTAACGTTTTGTTTAGTCTATGGTTATGTGACCCATTCTGTACTGTTTTTCGTATAGGTGTTTTGTATTTATGGATTTTCAGACTTTTCCAGTTTTGTCTCAGAATATTTGGGATCAGTGATAGTGTCATTGGTCTGGGTTAGGAGAACAAGCTGTTATTGATAAAACTGACATGTTTGGGAAACTGTTCTCATGACACGTGCATAGCTGCTGCGCTTGGTGCCTCTGTGATACTTGAAAAATCTTGAAAATGACACAATGTTTGGATTTTGTCATATGTCAAATAGTATGCAGAAATCACTTCAGTCTTTAGTTCTTGATCTGCTCTACTTTCTGAAAGCTGTATCTTCAAAACAAAATTAAAAAAAATACACACTTTTGACTGAATCTGTTTTATTATGCCAACTTTGACATTCCTTATTAGCTCATAAGTTTATTCTTTCAGCTACCTCCCTTTGTCAGTAACTTTCCTCAGCCTTGCTGCTCTTTATGACCATATGGATTTGGCACATTTTGTGAATGTATTAATTATACAGTTACTTTGTTCTCTTACTGCATTTATTTTCTCATTATAGGTTGGGCTTTTACAGTACTTCACTAATTGTATCATAAAATAATTTTAAAATACAAAATATATGTATATTTTCAGGATGATGATTTTCACAAGTCTGGCAACTTCCTGGAGCGCAGCATGAAACGTTTAGGTATTATTAGTAAAGGTTCTCATAACTACCACTTACTCATCCTCTTTGCTTTTTGCTTTGTTGTATTTCTTTTGTTGTGGGTGGCTTTAAAATTTAGGTGATCAGTTTAATAAATAAGGCATCCTTGTCTAGAATTTCATCTGTTCCACATGAAAGATTTTATACATCATTAACATTAATATGGGTATATTTATATATAAAAAATTTCAACATTTTAAGGTACAGTAGTTTAGTAATGCATACAATTAGAACACCTTCCTTTAAAACATTTTGGTTCTGGGATCTTGAAAGATTTTCTTTAAAGGTGTCCTGAGTGCATTTATGTCCATGCCCCAATAGTAGTCGGCATTTGATGCCTTCTTACTGCAGGTAGTTCATTAATTTTAGTTTAGCTCTTGTCCACTGCAGTACTTTGTAAGCATTATCACGTTGAAAAGCTAATTTCCCTCATTATTTACATTCGCTATGTATTTTATGTACAGGTCAGCCATGACTAATCCGGCAATTAGTTATCTGGTTCCATCAGTAATCCAACACTAATGTCGGTTAACATAATTTCAGATCTCATCATTATACTGACTGAGATCATTATATTGACTCAAATTTCATCATTATGCTGTCTCAGAAATTGTGCAGATAGTTGTAAATCCACAGCAGCAAGCCAGTGGAGGAGAAATCAGTGATGAAAATTGAGGAAGATGTAGCAGTCTCTCTATTGGTAGGTTAACCCCTTGACTTGCAACCCCCAATCCTGAGGTGTCTCCTGGTGTCGCAAAATTTAAAAAAAAAATATTTTTTTCTTACGAAATGATAGAGAATCTTTTCCTGATTGTAATGACACCAAAAAAATTAAATTTGATGGAAAACTGATGGAATAACGCTCTCACGAAGTTAGCGACCTCGGCGATATTTACAAATCGGCAATTTCGCCCACTTTGAGCCCTATTTTCAGCTAATTACATTGTTTCAGTCTACCAAACTCATTGCTATTTCTTTAGAACTTCATTTTTTCTATCGATTGAGTACAGGAAACTGCTATTTACCGATTTCAACTACCCAATAACATGGTCAGAAATTTACAATTTGGCCAATTTCACGAAAATTAAAAAATATGACGATTTCTAAATAAGGTCCAGAATGAACAATGCAGACATTCCTGGCTCTAAAATAACATTTTCTTTGTTCATCAGTCATGTCTCCAGGCCCCATCTGATATTACTCTTGCTTTCTGTTTTGAATTTTTATTCAAACAAAAAATAGAAGATTTACTGTTATGCAGACTACTGCAATATTGTAATAATTGTACAAATAATGTCAACCTATTCATGACTGCATATTAGAATGGCTAGTTGGACATTTATTGGACAATGACATCATTTGTTTACTTTTGAGCATCAGCAAACATCAAACATTTCCCCTACTTTGAACTCCATTTCCAGGTTCTTTTTATAGTAAAACCAATCAAAATCACCTCTATTTCTAAAATATGTTTTCCATTCTATCAAATGAGACCAAGAAAACAAGAATATAACCATAAATACTATACAAAAATAGACCACAAAATCGGCATTTTAATTAAAAAAACGGTCGGAGTTTTTTTTTTTTCTCATTATGCACTGCGTGCTCCAGGATTTTTTTATATGGTGCACACTGACCACACAGACCCATTCTCTCACATGTGGCCCTACCAGCTTTCTCCTGCTTGATTTGAAGCGCTAGAATTTATGAGTATATATACGTCAAACAGGGTACCTCATAAGACGTATATATATGACCGAAACAGTCAAAGGGTTAATTAAGTGCATTCTGACCTAACCACTCTGTAATTCAGCAAACTCACTAATCCGGCACACTACAGGTCCCATGATGCCAGATTAGTGATGGCTGACCTGTATTGAATATTGTACATGCCATAATATTGATCAGGAATGTAATTTAAAGCAAGGTTCACTTTAATATCTAATTGATGTATGTACTATGTTTATATGCTGATATTTTATATTACATGATCATGTCATTAAAGTATACATGTAATTTAATAATTGCACAATATACATTGAGCAATGTTTATGCACAAACATTGTACATGCATTCAAGTGAAATATAAGGCAAGAATGTGCCACAGGAACATCTGGAAATATGTTATCACCCAGAATCACAATAAGTGGGATAATCTAGATGAGGAAGTGATATACTCATTACACAGTTTTAAAGATAGTTAAACTGAGAAAAATATTTTATGTCAGTATAATTTTCCTTGTTTTCTCACTATAAAAATTTTACAAGTGGAAAAATATTATTTTTTATTACAAGAAATTAATCATTACAGTTACCCATAATACCTTGTTAATGCCCTGTAGTTTACCTTGTTTAGGGCCTGTTCTTATGATATTGTAACCTTTATAAAATGGCAGAGATTTATTTTGTGATAATATACAAGATATATACTGTAGTATTTTGTTTCACTTAACACCTATTGAATGTATTAACTAGGCTTAAAAATATTTAGTTAGGTATCTCTGAAGGTAGACCTTTAAGTGGTTGCCAGAATTTTTTTTTTATAGATTTTTTTTTTTATTTCACTCATGAGAATGACTTCTCTAATAAGCTTCAAATTTTCATCCCTAGTGTGCTTTCTAGAAAGCAAGCTTCTAATTTGCTAATTTTATTAAATAAAAATTAACTGTATGTTGATTTGCATTCAGTAACTAAAAAATGGCTCTTCTGAGCAACTTCAAAAATATTGATGTTGATTTATTCCATAAGGAGAATGACCAGATTCAGACTGTGTAGCTGGGAATTTGAAGTTTGTGAAATTTTTATAAAATTGGGAATCAGATCAATCACTGGAGAATGCCTTTTCTGATAGGCATCAAACACTAAATAATGCAAATCCAATTAATTTGTTCCAGACACTCAGAAATAAAACAAAAAAACTTTTTTAACTTAAAGATAGATTTACAAGCACAAAAGAATGAGAATTCAGCATGACAGTTACCTTTATTGAAGGCTGTTGTTGATGAATGGAAGACAGGGAGGAGGAGAGAAGGAAGAGAGGTTGTTGTTTGGAAGGGGAATCCCCCTCCATAAGGGCTCTAGGTCACTTCAGGAGTTACTTCACTAGTCACTTCACTAGCCACTTCCCTAGCTTAAATATAGATTTACATGCAGAAAAGAATGCCAAATAAATATAAAGCACTAATAAAATGTATAAATGAACATTTAACATCACAAGTACCTTTATTGAAGACTCTTGTTGGTGTATGGCAGACAGGGCAGAGGGAGGGGAGGCGAGTTTATTGTTGGAGAATATGACACTAATATCAACTCTATGACTTATTTATCTATCACAGTTCAACTAATATGACATAATAAACAATATTAATAACATAGAAACATGGAATATACTCTAGAACAGTGGTTCCCAACCTTCTCTTACTCCCGCACCCCTATAAAATTTTTGCTCTAACCTCGCACCCCCTACAATTTAAACTTTGTTCAAGGATAAAGGATGTGGAATCATACTAAATTTTATCAAAAGAAGATATTTATTTCACTTTCTAATATATGTGAACAAAAATCAGACTTACAGAAAAGAAACATATCACAGAATGATATCTGAATACACCTTACAAAAATAATAACTCTTGCTTGAAATATATACAAAAAAGTAAAATCAAGAGCTAGCTTTCAAACCTTTAGAAAGGAATTTTATTTTTTTAATATGTAAAAAATCAAACATGGACAAGAAAGGATGTCTCCGATTAACATTTGAATATACCATACAAAAAATAGTTACTTTCTTTAAATATGTACAAGATAATAAATCAAAAGGCTGACTTCAAAAAAGTTTGCGAATCCATTTTAATTCAATGACTATTGTTCCTGTTTCTTGCTTGAGAGTTTTTCAAAATAGGGAACTATGTTGGTGATAGCAACACGCATGTCTGCCTGTGCATTCAAACGATTTCTAGATTTTGTCTTAATTGACAAAAGAGTACTAAATCCTGATTCACATAAGTAAGTTGTCGCAAATGGAATGAGCACAGTTAGTGCAGTTTCACAAAGTCTTGGAAATAGAACCATAGCCGAGCACCAATACTCTTCCAAAGTTTTACTCTCAAATTGCATTTCAAGAGCACGATTTGAATGCAGATCTATAAGATCTTCTTTCAGCTCTCCATCTGACATTTTGTCCAAATTGAAGGAGTAAGGATTCATAATCCATTCTTCAGATGATTCCAGCTTCCCTACACCAAAATATCTATCAAATGATGCCTACAGCACTTCCAAATGAGTCACAATTTCTCCACAAACACTAGGAATCAAACTTGAAGATTCATTACCATCAGCTATTTCTTCAAGTGATGAAAAATTTGAAAGATTTCCTCTTTTCACTCGTTGACACCACAGATATAACTTACCTTTGAATGCATTTAGCTTTTCATAGCAATTCAGCATGTTTATATTTTTACCTTGAAGTGATAAACTCAGATCATTCATACGAGTAAATATGTCACTCAAATACGCTAGAATTTGATTGAATTCTTGCAATTCCAACTCTTCAAGCAGATCACAGTGACGTTCCTTCAGAAATACTTTGATTTCTTCCCGCAGTTAGAAGAAGCGGATTAAAACTCTCCCATGGGAGAGCCATCGGACTTCTGTGTGGAAAAGTAAAACTGTATGTTCACTTCCAAGATCTTCACAAAGTGACTTAAAAAGGCGGTGATTTTGAGCACGACCCCTAATCCAGTTGATGGTTTTTACTGAAGTATCAAGGACTTTCTTCAATTTTGGAGGCAAGGTTTTTGATGCCAAAGCATGACAATGAAGGAAACAGTGAGTACCCTGCAAGTATGGAATCTCCTGTTTCATCAGTGCAAAAAACCCAGATTTATTTCCCAGCATAGCAGGAGCGCCATCAGTACACACAGATCCAATAATTTGGATATCCAATTCATATTTTGCAAATAAGTCTTTCACAAACTGAAACAAATCTTTTGCTTTGGTGGTTGTTTTCAGTTGTTCACAGAAAAGGAAGTTCTCCTTTATGGCTTCATCATGAACATACCCCACCAGTGCAATAAGTTGACTGCAATTAGAAACATCAGTAGTTTCTTCCAACTGAAGGGAGATTTTCAAGGGACTAGCCTTCATATGTGAGATAACTTGTTCCAAAATATCTGAACTCAAATCATCAATTCGGCTTCGAATAACATTACAGTGGACCCCCGCATAACGATATTAATCCGTTCCTGAGAGCTCATTGTTATGCGAAATTATCGTTATGCGAATGAATTTTCCCCATAAGAAATAATGGAAATCAAATTAATCTGTGCAAGACACCCAAAAGTATGAAAAAAACAATTTTTTACCACATGAACTATTAATTTTAATACACACAAATTGAAAAAGGCATGCACAATTACATGACACTTACCTTTATTGAAGATCTGGTGATGATTGATGGGATGGGAGGAGGAGAGAGTCTTAGCGTTTAGAAGGGGAATCCCCTTCCATTAAGACTTGAGGTGTCAAGTCCTTTTCTGGGGTTACTTCCCTTCTTCTTTTAATGCCACTAGGACCAGCTTGAGAGTCACTGGACTTCTGTCGCACAACATATCTGTCCATAGTGGCCTGTACCTCTCGTTCCTTTATGACTTCCCTAAAGTGTTTCACAACATTGTCAGTGTAATAGTCACCAGCACGGCTTGCAATAGCTGTGTGAGGGTGATTTTCATCCATAAAGGTTTGCACTTTCAGCCACATTGCACAGATTTTCCTTAATCTTTGTAGTAGGCAACTTCTTCAATTTCTCTCTCCCCTCCTCCGAACCAGTTTCCTCAGGTTGGCCTCTTTTCTGTTGAAGTTGATCTAGCAGCTCATCAGTGGTTAGTTCTTCATTGTCCTCCTCCACCAACTCTTCCACATCCTCCCCACTAACCTCCAACCCCAAGGACTTTCCCAATGCCACAATGGATTCCTCAACTGGCATATTCCTCTCAGGGTTAGCCTGAAACCCTTCAAAATCCCTTTGGTCTACACATTCTGGCCACAGTTTCTTCCAAGCAGAGTTCAAGGTCCTCTTAGTCACTCCCTCCCAAGTCTTACCTATAAGGTTTACACAATTGAGGATATTAAAGTGCTCTCTCCAAAACTCTCTTAGAGTCAGTTGAGTTTCTGAGGTCACTACAAAGCACCTTTCAAACAGAGCTTTTGTGTACAGTTTTTTGAAGTTTGCAATAACCTGCTGGTCCATGGGCTGCAGGAGAGGAGTGGTATTAGGAGGCAAAAACTTCACCTTAATGAAGCTCATGTCCCCATAAAGTCACTCTGCCACGTCTGTAGGATGACCAGGGGAATTGTCTAACACCAGGAGGCACTTAAGGTCTAATTTCTTTTCAGTTAGGTAATCTTTCACATTGGGGGCAAATGCATGGTGTAACCAGTCATAGAAAAAGTCCCTAGTGACCCATGCCTTAGTGTTTGCCCTCCACAGCACACACAAATTAGCCTTGAGGATATTCTTTTGCCTGAATGCTCTGGGAATTTCTGAGTGATACACTAATAAAGGCTTCACTTTGCAATCACCACTAGCATTGGAACACATCAACAGAGTAAGCCTGTCTCTCATAGGCTTATGTCCTGGGAGTGCCTTTTCCTCCTGAGTAATGTAGGTCCTGCTTGGCATTTTCTTCCAAAACAGGCCTGTTTCATCACAATTAAACACTTGTTCAGGTTTCAGTCCTTCACTGTCTATGTACTCCTTGAATTCCTGCACATATTTTTCAGCTGCTTTGTGGTCTGAACTGGCAGCCTCACCATGCCTTATCACACTATGTATGCCACTACGCTTCTTAAATCTCTCAAACCAACCTTTGCTGGCCTTAAATCACTCACATCATCACTAGTTGCAGGCATTTTTTTAATTAAATCCTCATGCAACTTCCTAGCCTTTTCACTTATGATCACTTGAGAGATGCTATCTCCTGCTATCTGTTTTTCATTTATCCACACCAATAAGAGTCTCTCAACATCTTCCATCACTTGCGATCTCTGTTTCGAAAACACAGTTGAACCTTTGGCAAGAACAGCTTCCTTGATTGCCGTTTTGTTGCCCACAATAGTAGCGATGGTTGATTGGGGTTTATTGTACAACCTGGCCAGCTCGGAGACACGCACTCCACTTTCATACTTATCAGTGATCTCTTTCTTCGTCTCTATAGTAATTCTCACCCTTATTGCTGTAGGGTTGGCACTAGAAGCTTTCTTGGGGCCCATGGTCACTTATTTTGCAGATAAAATTTCCAAAAACACTGTAATAATACGAAATGTTCCGATTGTATGCTTGGATGTTACCACGGAGGCTGGCTTGTAAACAATGCCACCGGCGGAACATGAGGCTGGCTCAGGCCGCACATTAGACGCGTCTCGGACGAACAGCGTTGAGCGGGTTTTTTAGCGGTAT